TGGTACTCAACGGAACGTATTATAAACTTGCGACCCACAAGCGAACCAAGCAAATTGTGGGCCACAAGCGGTACCAGACTGTATGGTACTCAACGGAACGTATTATAAACTTGCGACCCACAAGCGAACCAAGCAAATTGTGGGCCACAAGCGGTACCAGACTGTATGGTACTCACCGGAACGTATTATAAACTTGTGACCCACAAGCGGACCAAGAAAATTGTGAGCCACAAGCGGTACCAGACTGTATGGTACTCAACGGAACGTATTATAAACTTGCGACCCACAAGCGAACCAAGCAAATTGTGGGCCACAAGCGGTACCAGACTGTATGGTACACAACGGAACGTATTACAAACTTACGACCCACCAGCGGACCAAGCAAATTGTGGGTCGTAAGCGGTACCAGACTGTATGGTACTCAACGGAACGTATTATACACTTGCGACCCACAAGCGAACCAAGCAAATTGTGGGTCACAAGCGGTACCAGACGGTATGGTACTCAACGGAACGTATTATAAACTTGCGACCCACAAGCGAACCAAGCAAATTGTGGGCCACAAGCTGTACCAGACTGTATGGTACACAACGGAACGTATTACAAACTTACGACCCACCAGCGGACCAAGCAAATTGTGGGTCGTAAGCGGTACCAGACTGTATGGTACACAACGGAACGTATTACACATTAGCGGACCAAGCCACCTGTAGGCCACAAGCGGTACCAGACTGTATGGTACATATCGAAACACAATGCGAATTTCGACCAGCGAGCGATACCAGACTAGATGGTATCCAACGCGGAACGTATTGCAGCTTTGCGACCCACAAGCAGGACCAACCTGATAAACCGTAGCAAATTCAATGATTACTAATACCACCAATGCGCGGCCAACCTCTTATTACATACTCGCCAGGCCCCCTTTTGGTCACATGATGTGCCGACGTAACGAGGCTTGGTTCCCTAGCTGTTAACCTTTGTTATTGCATAACCTCATATAAATCGGTGTAATATCTAATTAATTTATTGTCAATACTAAACACCTAAATATTTTATACACAATTTTTATTTAACATTATATATCGCATATTTTCTTCTTTGAAGATGTAATTACCACATAGTTAGTCTTGTTGTAGTTTATCAAAATTTTATTTATATTAAAATAATGTATATACTATATATAATGTAGTTCATCATACATTACTCGTACAATTTTATCCATAGATATACAGTATGCGAACAAAATATATTCGGATATATCGTCCGCAAATATTTGAAAAGAAATTAACTTTTTTGTCAGTAATAATCTGTTGTTCCTAATATATCCTGTTGTGTGGAATATCCTTTTCTATAAATCCAAATTGATAATCGTAAATTATTTTGCGCTTTGTTAAACAACTTTGCAATTGATTATATACTAAGCTAATATTCTTACAAGGGTGATAGAATCGATATACGTCTATATAGTTATTTGGATCCGTCACTGCTCCACTCTTCAAGATTGGCATGATGCTAGCTATTTTTGGAATATCTTGGGAAACCAGGTGTTAAAAATGGAAATGCGGCTCAACTTCATTCACTATCCCAGCGGCAAAAAAATTCTTCAGAAACGGTTACAGCGAAATATTTGCGAGAATTTTCTCATACACAATTTTTATTCAGAATCGATAAGAAATTTTTATTTCAACGCCAAAATTTTACCTGGGCGTATTAAGGTGGCTCGAAATAATTTTCAAAAACGTCAGGTGTGTAACAGTTTGACTGTTTAAAACGTCCTATTTTTAGGTTTTACGAAGCAGATAACAGGATGTTCATCTATTTTAATATCTCTTCTTTCAAATTATGTCAGTTTTAGTAACACGTATAGTCCGTTGCTATGGCCACACGCGTACGAAGTGCACTCTTTAACAGCATCTTGCTTTGTGTAATAGGAAAATAAGCACGGGGACACCCAATCTTTTTCGTGCAATGCTTTACTTAGAACATAGGCTAACAGTAAGCAAAAAATCATGTAATGCCATTTCTTTGGGAAAACGCCAAAATGTCGTTTTCCTGGATGAAATTTTTTGGCATTACCGATTTTATTATTTTGGGAACATTAAAAGACGACTTTGGCACTACAATACAGTGTGCAAAATTTCAACATAGGTCACCGGACAAAATAATGAGATATAGCGCACTCTTTTTCAAAATTGGCATTTCTAATGACGTCAGAAATTTACATTGAACGCGTTTATACAACACGTACAATATATGGCGCGAGATGGCGTGGGCAAGCCGCCAAGTCAGTACAATATATCTACGGCAAGTAGTTTCGTTAGTATTCCCGCGGACACGAAAGCTCATGCGATTTTGTTCTAAAAGGAAAACGTTTTGTTTTCACGAATCTTGCCTACAAGAGATTTTGTGTATCGAGCCACCTTAACATGCATGACATAATTTTAAAGCCACATTTTCGCACTTTAGCGAGTAACAGCGTCCATGGAATCAAGTCCGCCACCTATAGTTAGGCAATCAATCACTGGCGAAAATCACTGAATTAAGCATTGCCACTAAAATGAGTATTCACGTCTTGGATTCAAAAATTCTCTTCAAACACTTCCAAATCTCTCGCGTTCCAGAGTTTGTTGTGCGCAATGAAAAACTGAGTCGATAACAACCGTTTTTACCTGCATGTAAGGACGAAATCATACGAACATCCTCATTAACATCATTACGTAAAATCGATGATTGCTATTGGTTGCCTTTTCTCGATTCGTCAGCAACCGTAAAATTCTACTTTGATATTGGCTGTTACTTATTAAGGGAATATATGCTGAATAAATTACATCTTGAAATACGCATATGTATTATTCACCTGCTAATTAAATTTTCTGTCAATAAAATGTCAGTTAAACCTGCACGTCACTACTTTTATAGCAGCTGTTATCCGCTTGACTTTATTACCTGTTATCGCACATATTTACTGATAATAAAACCTACAACAAAATAGGTTAAAGGCAATATATTCTTAATGTTATAAAAAATACAAATAATTAGAAATTTCCATGGTTTGATTGGTTGCTATAGTTGGTTGCGCCAATTGTCTTTGCACCAGAAAAAGGTAAAATTTCAATTATTTCTGGATTGGTTTATCGCGAAATATACGCCGATTTTTAGATATATACTAGAAATACATGCATGCAGTAACCCTTCGCCAATATTTTCCAAACATTGCTTCAACATGAAGTAATCTCAATTGCGGCACCACTGAAAGCAGGCTCGCAATTCCGCGTCGTGTTAAGGTACGTTTACATAACGATTAATCCGTCCGATTCAGATACATGACAAATCTATTAAACATTGACACTTTTGTCCTCTAACCCGAACAAATTTTTATTCACTAGAATCAATGAGAAATATTTCTTTCAACGCCTCACTTTACCTGAAGGTATTAAAAATCTGTTCAAAACGTCCTATTTTTAGGTTTTGTGAAGCAGAAAACAAGATATTCATCCATTTTAATATTTCGTCTTTCAAATGTCAGTTTTGGCAACACATGGTTCGTTGCTATGGCAACACATGTGTACGAAATTCACTCTTTAATGGCCTTAGGCTATTGCTTTGTGTAATAGGAGAATAAGTACAGAGACCCCAAATTTTTCGCGTATAATTACTTAGAACATAGACTAACAACAAGCAAAATATTAAAAAATTCTGTAATGCCTTATTTGAAAAACGCCAAAATGTCGTTTTCTTCCATAAAATTTTGGCATTACGGATTTTTTTGTTTTCTGAATATTGAAAGACTTTTACCCTGCAGTGCAGTGTGAAAAACAATGTGATATAGCTAGCGCACTGCTTTCAAAACTTGACATATCTAGTGACGTCAGCAATTCACATGGAACGAGCTTAGACAACACGTACAATGGCGCGAGGTGCTAACAATAAGCAAAATTCTAACATATTCTGTAATTCCTTTTTTAAAAAACGCCAAAATGTCGTTTTCTTTGATAAAATTTTTTGGCGTGTATTACAATTTTTTTTTATTTTAGGAATATTAAAAGACTTTTGCCCTACAATGCAGTGTCAAAATTTCAACATAGGTCACCGGACAAAATAATAAGATATAGCTTGCGCACTGTTTGGCATTTCTAATGGCGTCAGAAAATTGACATGGAACGTGCTTATACGACACCTGCAATGGCGCGAGATGGCGTGGGCAAGCGTCATATATGTACAGTAAGTACTTTCATTAACATTCCCGAGGACACGAATTGTCACACGAGTTTGTTCAAAAATAAAAACGTTTTGTTTCACGATTCTTGCCTACATAACGTAAAATAATAATTTATTATTTATATTGCGCAAATATCCATATGTATATAATCAAATGCGCAAAAATTTTTGTGGATTAATATATCGACCCACCATAACATGCATGAAATAATTTCAAAACCACATTTTCGCATTTTAGCGAGTGGAAGCGTTCATGAAATCAGGCTTAGCCGTGTGCTAACTACAACGCAGTCGAACGAAAATCACTGAATTAAGCATTGCTAGTATAATGTGTATTCACATACCTGACGAAAAGCATTTTGGCTAAAAATTCTCCTTCAAACACTTCAAAAGTTCTCGCGTTCCAGAGTTTGTTGTATGCAATGAAAAACTACCTTGACAACAACCGCTAACATACGAACAGCCTCATTAACATCATTACGTAAAATCGATAATTGCTCTTGGCTGCCCTCGCGCGATAATTGCTCGTGGCTGCCCTTATAACTTAATATACCATTGCGTAGACCTCGTGTATATATATATATATATATATATATATATATATATATATATATATATATATATATATATATATATATATATATATATATATATATATATATATATATATATATATATATATATATATATATGTATGTATATGTGTGTGTTGTCCGCCTGCTAATTAATTGTTGTGTCAATAAAATATCAGTTAATTAAACCTGCAGGTCAACTTTTACAGCAACTGTTATTCGCTTGACTTTATTACCTGTTGTCGCACTTTTGGAAATGAATCGTAAAAAATTATGCCAGTTTTGCGCTCATACACATATTTACTGATAATAAAACCTGCACCAAAATATGTTAAAGGCAATATATTTTAAAAGTTATAAATAGTACAAACTAAAAAAAATTTGCATAGTTTGATTTGTTGCTATATTTACAGTAGTCGGCCAATTATTTTTGCACCAGAAAAAGGTAAAATTTCAAACATTTTTGAACTGGTTTATCGCGGAATATACGTATATATAAGTATAAAAAATAAGAAGATATATACTAGAAATACACGCATGCAGCTACTCCTCGCCTATTTTTTTCAAACATTGTTTCAACATGAAGTGTTTTCATGAATAAATTACATCTTGAAATATGCATATGTGCTGCGCACCTGCAAAAGTCAGTTAAGCCTGCAGGTCAACTTTTACAACAGCTGTTATCCGCTTGGCTTTATTACCTTTATTACCTTTATTATCGCACTTTTAGAAATGAATCATAAAAATGTATGCCAGTGTCGCGGCTCATACACATATATACAGATAATAAAACCTACACCAAATAGGTTAAAGGCAATACATTTTTAAAGTTATAAATAATACAAATATTTAAAAATTTGCATAGTTTGATTCGTTGCAATAGTTAGCTGCGCTAATTGTCTTTGCACCAAAAAAAGCAATATTTCAAAGATTTTTGGAGTAGTTTATTGCAACGCCGATTTTTAGATATATACTGGAAATACATGCATGCAGCTACCCCTCGCCTATATTTTCCAAACATTGTTTGAACATGAAGTATTTTCAATTGCGCCAACTCTGAACGCAGGCTTGCGTTCCCCCGTGATGTTAAGGTACGTTTACACACAACAATTAATCGGGCCGTTTCAGCTTTTATTATATTCATTTTGAAATCAATGGTGTTTCCTGCAATCTGATTGGTTCACAGGAGTGCGATTTCAGCACGAATCGCACTCGTGGCAGTGCGATTCGTGCTGAAATTGCACCTTCTTTCAACCAATCACATTAGAGTGCTGACTTCAGCCAGCCAAACATATTTAATCATAGGATTCAAACAGCCAATCAATTTTAAGAAAAATGTGATATGGCAAACAAGCAAAAGCAAAAAATTTACATATATCATGATTTACTCTTAAGTGCCTAAGCAATTTTTTGCACATAAAAACAAAACAATATGGATAGCGACAGTAAACTATCAAAGAATTGCAAATAATTCTAAATTTTTTGAAATTTTTCAAAAAGTAACTAGCCAAAATGCCAACAAAAGAAAATTTAAAGCGTCAGGGAAAACAAAGGTAGGCTAAGTTCGCCTATCGTATTTCCAATTTTAAACGCTCAAAGCTGCCCCAAAACTTTTTCAAATCACTCGTAAAACCTACAATATGTTTAAACTTACTTGTTTTGTCTCTTATTCTTTATAAATGTCTTCATTTTTGCCGTTTTTTAAACATATTATTATTAAAATGCAATTTAACAAAACTGAGTTCATCTTGTTCGCACTCCGGGAGGTACGGGAGATGTGTCGTTTGCAAACAAAAACGTTTTCGGTTTACAAAAGTGGAAATTGAAATTCGTGTCGTGCAATTTTGGACTGAAATAAAATTTGTGATTACAAATCGCACTCCCGCTTCGCAGTCGTGCGATTTTGTAATCACGCGTTTGGTTTCAGTCCAAATTGCACTCCACTCAGTTCAATTACCATTATAAACTAGAAAATACTTGCATGCAGAAACCCTCGCCGTACTGACAAAACCATTGTATTTTCCGAACATGAAGTATCTAAAGTTGTTGTCATGGTAACACGATAATTTTTAAGAATATTCTTACAAATGAAAAATTGCCTAAAAATATCACTTTTAATTACAAAATTATCAATTTCCCAACATGTATATGTTAGGTATATTATTATACGTAATATAAGCTTCAATTTAAGGTAAAATTCAACCACAAAACGCTTCGCAAAACGTTTTAAATTAAAGTAAATTAAATTTATAAAACTAAACTGCCTGTAATAATTAAATGGCTTTATCAATAAACTTTGAGTTTGCAATAAAATTATTTCAAATTCTCGCATGCAAATAACTTTGCTTTCTTTTTTTTAGAAAATTCAATATAATATAAAAGGGAATCAATTTTAATAATACACTGAAATTATAAGCTGTCTTGTTTAGTTGCTTCATATACGCAAAGGGCCAAAGGCCGTCGGATTTTAAACCAATTATAAAATCAAAATTTAAAACAAACTTACCTTCGTTAACGTCGGCACCCTTCTTTTAGCCGATTTATTTCGCTGTCGTCATGCAGTCGTTATAATGCAAACTTTAAATTGGACCAATCAGTGTCCGCTATTCATGACAGTCCGCCATATTTTTGAGATCAGTGAGGATGACCACCCACCGAACCACACTGTAACCCACGCCCGCGCTCTTTGATGAACTTTAGACTTGACTAATGCTATCGTTTCCCCGGGTGTAAATAGCCGGGGAGGATTAGTACCCTCGCATGGCGCTTCGCGCCGTCGGCTCGGGGATTAACGTGGCTTCCTAAGGTTTTTGCATTATACTACACAATAATATCCAAGAGACTCCTGGGTTTTTTTCTTTGCATGACATGAAGACGACATTTATTGGATACATTGACAATGTTCTCCTAAACTTGTAAATTTGCTACTTTTGTGTTGAAAGTTACCATGGCAACAGCATGCTTACGCCTGCATTCTAAAAGCTCACTCATACTCACACTTAAAGGGTATTGGCAACAAAAAATTTTATTGCTTCATCTGAAAGAGCATGGAAAAATAAGCCAATTGGCCGTTTACTGCTCTATTCTATCTCATCTAGTTCCGAAGTTATACGCAAAAATGTGCAAAATATAAGTTGCTGATTCAGCCATAGATATAGGAGGTATAGGTCGCCGACTCAGCTCGCGAGGCGTGACATTTTGAACTATCCAAGATGGCGGAACAAGCGGGAAAGAAAAAAAACGCGGGAATTTTTTTCCATATAAACACATTATTTTTGCGAGCGTTCTGCGAAGTTCTTGGCTGTTTTGAAGTGTTTTAAAGCGCTCTGATTTTAGTTCTTTGGCTAAAATATTGAGCAACACCCACCTGGCTTTGTTTTTATTATCCACAACTACAATTCCACAGTCTTGAGCGCGAATGAGCGGCGTAAAACTGTACGAATAAGAGTCTGGAGAGTGACATCGAACAGTAGAATTGCTATTTCATTCCACAGGTAGAATATGCATTTTATATTAAATGTTTTAATGCCACTTTTTTCCGACTTTAGTGGGAAAATATGGTTTATCTTAAATGGGAAAATATAGTTTATGTTTATATTATCTATTCTTTTTGCTAAATTTGTATTATCTATTCTTTGTATTATCTATTCTTTTTGCTCAGTAGTTAACTGCTCACACTTGAAACATAATCCATCTTTTTATTTGCAAAAAAGACTTGATTACAATTTTCGAAAAACGTCAGGTGTATAACAGTTTGACTGTTCAAAACGTCCTATTTTTAGGTTTTGTGAAGCAGAAAACAAGATATTCATCCATTTTAATATTTCGTCTTTCAAATGTCAGTTTTGGCAACACATGGTTCGTTGCTATGGCAACACATGTGTACGAAATTCACTCTTTAATGGCCTTACGCTATTGCTTTGTGTAATAGGAGAATAAGTACAGAGACCCCAAATTTTTCGCGTATAATTACTTAGAACATAGACTAACAACAAGCAAAATATTAAAAAATTCTGTAATTCCTTATTTGAAAAACGCCAAAATGTCGTTTTCTTCCATAAAATTTTGGCATTACGGATTTTTTTGTTTTCTGAATATTGAAAGACTTTTACCCTGCAGTGCAGTGTGAAAAATAATGTGATATAGCTAGCGCACTGCTTTCAAAACTTGACATATCTAGTGACGTCAGCAATTCACATGGAACGAGCTTAGACAACACGTACAATGGCGCGAGGTGCTAACAATAAGCAAAATTCTAACATATTCTGTAATTCCTTTTTTAAAAAACGCCAAAATGTCGTTTTCTTTGATAAAATTTTTTGGCGTGTATTACAATTTTTTTTTATTTTAGGAATATTAAAAGACTTTTGCCCTACAATGCAGTGTCAAAATTTCAACATAGGTCACCGGTGTAGCGGTCTGAGATTGTCCTCGTGCTGAGATTGTTCTAGTACTACTGCGCATGCTCCAAGTGTAGCATGCAATCTCAGCACGTGGTACGGCGGTCTGAAATTGTATCGTGCTGAGATTGTCGTGCTGAAAATGCCGTGCTGAATTTGTTGTGCTGAAATATTTTAATATCGTTTCCACATAGGTTTTATGTGATCTTTTAAGAGTTTAGGAGAAATTGTATAAATTTCAGAGTCAAATTTATTGATTAGCCAAGGGCATCGTGCTGAATTTGTTGTGCCGCCAGAATCAGCTGAGATTGTCGAAATATTTATCCTGAATTTATGCCTGGTGTTATGCACTCAGCTCTCGGGTGTACCGTAGATATATGTGTGGCCACACTCAGAGTAAAATCACAAGCATATATTTATCCTTTCCAAATAAATTATAAGAATTTACGGAAATTGTATAAATTTTAGGGTCAAATTTTTCGAATCTTAGCAGAATTTAGGACATCGTGCTGAGATTGTCGTGCTGAAAATGTCGTGCTGAAAATGCCGTGCTGAAATATTTTAATATCGTTCCACATAGGTTTTATGTGATCTTTTAAGAGTTTAGGAGAAATTGTATAAATTTCAGAGCCAAATTTATCGATTAGCCAAGGGCATCGTGCTGAATTTGTTGTGCCGCCAGAATCAGCTGAGATTGTAGAAATATTTATCCTGAATTTTATGCCTGGTGTTTATATGCACTCAATTCTCTTATTTGTCCTTTCCAAATAATAATACATCCGTTTACGAGAATTGTAAATAGGATTATGCTATTAAAACTACAGTCTACGGGCATACTTTGAATAAATTACTCACAAAAGCAAGGTGAAAAACATAGTCAATATATTCTTTGGTAATTCTTCTATAGCTGTAAATCTAATATATACATTGTATACACCAATAATCAACTGAATAGACGTCACTAGTATGAACTGTACCTGTACGTCACTAGTAATTCTTTCTATTTACAGTTTTTACAAAAGAAACATGTATTCTTTTTAACAACTCTTGGCACTCTTTCACAACCACGATGAAACCAGTCCAGGCACTTGTCACACTGAACCATAAAAATGTTCTCTCTGTATGGTTGTCTGCAATGGCAATATATGTCAATCTCTTCGCTGCTGTGGTAAAGTTGGTGATTTCGACTAGTGTTAGACATTGGGAAAGACGATATCACACCAGCTTCAATGCACTTCACCAGATGTCCACGCATTTCCTCTTGCTGCCAATCACAATCTTGCGGTAAGCCACCACAGCACAGACTGGTTGCAACTGCAAGGGCAAACAAGCCACAGTCGGATGTCCCTTCTTGCTTCTGCATGTCTGCCCACAATAACGTCATGTGTTTAGACACAGGCATAAGCATGTAGGCAATTTGTCTCAAAACTTTTTGCTTACACGAGGCATTAATGTTATCGTACAAAGAGTCATAGATGACAACTGAGTCCTTTGGGCAGCCGACATTACTAATTATTATCCAATGGTTACCACCAACATTTAAAACTTGGACAAAACTCTGCTCAGGTGTTCCAACTCGTTGACAACCTTCGGGAGCAAATACGCAGACAGCCTGCAAGCCACCAATATCAGGGAATTGTTTTGCAAGCATGGCCTGTGCATGGTCAATATGTTCATCTGATAACCATTCACCATTCTGAATGTCTGGGAGAAGTTGTGTATTGTTCTTCATCAGGTTTGCTTTTTTGACAGGCACTGGCCCAACTTTCCTCTTTCTAGCTTTTGTATATCCCACAATTTTTATGTCTTCATCAATTTTGTTGGGAATGTTGGTAGCACTGGTTTCATGTTCCTTTAAAGACTTAACAGCAGACGTGGGACTGTCTTGGGAATTCTTTATCGGACAAGGAACAGACTGATTGCTGGGAACATCATTGTCTGTTATATCTGTGCAGCTGCTTGGGTCAGGATTAATAGATACTTCAGGCACCACCGGTTTATGAAGATCACTTGTAACATGTGGACGGATTTGATCATATGCGACTTTCACTTTTAACGTTTCCCCGCTTTTGATATGGGCCAGTTGGATCCTTTGGTGGTTATCGATTTCAACAATCCTAAATAAAATAATATATTCAAATGACTTTGCATAGAAGGTGTCTGATCTGTTTCTTGCGAACAGTATCATTCTATGGGTTCACAAGCCAGGTCCTTTATCTTTGTTTCCCCCCTTCCCAAAAAACCAGGCAGTATCATTTTGTCTTGTGGGAGACTTACTGTAACTGTTTCACTGTTTTACTTAATACCTGTAAGGACCAGTCCATAGAGCATCCAACTTGCCACCTTTTCGTCCAGTGTTTTTCATGCATTTTCGAAGGACAACATCTCCCACTGAAAGATTAAAAACCTTCACACCCTTGTTTTTCTTTTTTGCATATTCTTCCTTTTGCTTTGCTTGGGCCTTATCAACATTCTCTTTTACCTAATAGTATGAAAAAGGAACATTTAGCAACAAAACATGCTGCAGTCAGTCCTTGTGGACGCCTCTTGGTCCTAAGAGGGCGTCCAATTTTGGTATAAAGAAACATCTACAGTAAAGATGGGGGGGGGCGGTGGTTTCGAGAAAACGTTCCTCTGGAAAACCTTTGAAGTTTGTGTTACTTCATGTCAGTATCTGTTGCAAGCTTGTTCGAAATTTTTCAAACACACTTGGCTTTGTGAGTTTGTGCCGCTATGCTTCTTTACTTAACTACGACATTTTCATTCAGCCAAGGTACACAATCAAATTGATCAAAATGTCAAATGTATAATAATAATGAGAATTAAAGCTATTTCGTTTCAGATATATTAATATACTTAGGGAAATTATTGAAAATAATTTCCCTTTTTCCCAGAACTTGGGCATCCAAAGGTGTCCATTTTTCGTTCTAGGGGCGTCCCAGAACGCCCTTCTGGCTAAAAGCCTGCTTGTAAGTGGACACCATCCCAATGTTGAAACCAGAGTATACACATTCGCACGTTAGGTTTGGCATGACTCCGGGAAAATCAAATGAGATAACAAGTTTCATTGGCTGCTATGAATGAGATAACAAATTACATTGGTTGATTTGTGGGATAACCTGAAAACGTTACCTTCTTTCCAACATTCTTCATCATATCAGCCCTTTCTGCAACCATCTCCTCAAACTCTTCTGCAGATGGATCTTCTGGCTTGATATCTTCCTCGTCTAAAGGGTCTTCCATCTTTAATTAAAAGAAACGAATTTTTATGAATTGAAGCAGTGATTATCATTTTGCTTGGTTTATGTACACTGCATTTTGTACTTACCTCCATTGGAGTCCTTGCATGCCGTCCAAACATCAGGAAGAAGGGACTATACTTTGTCGAACCTTGCTTTTGGGTACGAATTGAGAAAGCTATTTCTTCTAAATAGTCATCCCAGTTATCTTGGTGTTCATTGATAAGTTTTGCTAGTCGCACCTTTAGTGTTTGGTTTGTGCGCTCATCAAGTCCATTGGTTTGTGGATGGTATGCACTGGTGACCGAACGAGAAATTCCCAACTGCCTACAGATCTCTGTGTTCACCTGTGAAAATCACAGCAATAGTTTCAATAAATTATCTACTTTTTTGTTCACTCTTTTTAACTCCAGATGGCTTTATGCATCAAAGAGAGGGATGCTAGGGTTGTCATAGTAAACTTAGAATCGGATATATTGAATTTGAAATGGTAAAGTGGTAAACCAAATTATAAATTACCTTCGCAACAAACTCCCGCCCTTGATCAGATAGCAATCTACATGGGGCTCCCCATCTTGTAGATAAAAACAAAAATGCATTAAAACGCACTGTTCAAGATTAGAGATCTGGTATACAAACTATCCAGAACACAACAAATCACACTTATTTACTTCAAAGATAAATTCAATTACTTTGTTTACCTGCAAACAAAGGTTTTAATGCCATGAGCAACACCTCCTGCAGTTTTGTCTTTCAGAGGATAAAAATCCACAAACTTTGTATAGTAGTCTGTAAACGTCAGAACATATTTATAACCAGCTGTTGTGGTTGGGAGTGGACCTGTAAAATATAGAACAAACAAAAAAGGTACAAGTTAGCAAACTGTGCAGAGAAACTTAAATTTTGTAATTTTAAATTAATGACACCAGGTGATTGATAAAATTATACAATAACATGGTTACACACCAATGAGATCCATTCCAACCAATTCCATAGCCTTATTAACTTTAATACTTTGAAGCTCAGGGGCCATTGTCTTTAATTTTTCATATCGCTGACAACGATCACATGACTTACACTAAATTGAGGTAAAAATAATGTGACGGTAAGAATGTTATAGATCAAGTGACTTCAAACTAAGATTTTTACCTGAATCTGTGAACGATTCATCTTGTGCTAGTTGAAGATAATTATTTTGCTTTATTATACTTACATACTCAACCACATCCTCTTTCATACCATTCCACATATAAAAATTGGAAATTTTTGAAAGAGTGTTGTTGATACCACTATGTCCTCCCATAGGATTTGAATGATACTGATAAAGGATATCTTGCATTTCTTTAAGTTCAGTGACCACTTTCTTTTTTACATTTTTTTTTATACCAACATAGAATAATTCCTGTTCTAAAATATAAGTTTATAAAAGGAATAAGTTACTTTATACTTGCAGATTAAAATATTATTAAGCCATTGATTATGCTGCAATGCTCCCCACTTTGTTATAATTATGCTCTGTCCCACGCTTTATTATGTTCTTTATCTACGACCTTTGGATTACTAGCCCAACGCTCTGCCAACTGAGCTACGCGGTCAGATCGGTTCGAATTATTGGCTTTCTAACGACTTGAAGGCCTTCCTAGGGGTCCAGGGGTACTGTATGCTCCCCCAGGTACTGTATGCAAAAATAGTAATATGGGCTATTTCCATTTTTACTGGTGGTGCCTTGAATAATTTGATTTCATATGGCATTAGTAAGTAAAGGCCATGAATTTCTGTGCTTTCTAACCGAATTGTAGTGATGTGATAAAATAATACATGGCCTAGGCAAACACCAGTTAACCCATTGAGTCGCATTGCACCCCGATGCGCCCTACTTTAGTATTTTACTCTGTCTAACGCCAGACGATTTTACTCGTCAAGGGGAAAGCGCTGGCACTTAATGGGTTAACTGGCCTATCTGCCCATGTGTCTAGTTAACCCATTGAGTCACATTGCACCCCGATGCGCCCTACTTTAGTATTTTACTCTGTCTAACGCCAGACGATTTTACTCGTCAAGGGGAGAGCGCTGGCGCTTAATGGGTTAAATTAGAAATGTCATTACATGGCATAATATTTAGTAATTATATACTAATTAGTATAATGTATAGACTTTGGCACATTACAGTACTTACTAGTCGAATCCCACAGATGAGTCTTAGCTTGGTTTCTGAGATTCCGAGCTTCATTTTTTGTCAAGCCTTCTGGGCATTTGTTAGATACCAAATACTCGATCAAATTTTCACACTGCGTATTGTGCTTGCCAAGTCTTTCTTCTCTGGTGAGATGCTTATTTTCTTGGGTAGATATCTCTGTTTCATCAGACACTATGTGTGAATCATTTTTTCTTGGTGAAGGAGTCATGTTCACAAATTTCACTAGTAAACAAGTATAAGAATTGTTTAATAATCATTCTGACAGCAATCATAGCATATTTATAATCGATTTAAAACACATTTAATATAATCAATAAAGAATGGCTGAGATGCTGACAGTATATTACATGTATGTGATGCAGTATTGAATTCATGTATCAAAAAGCCAGCTAACGATAAGAAATCACAAGTAGGAGACCTACCTTGTCAAAAGACAAGTGGGAGACCTACCTAGTAGTAATACCTACCTAGCCTAATAAGTTAATCAAACCTATCTATGACATTCTCGTAAAAATCGTGAAACACGTGCATCTGTACTGCATTTGCTGATTTAGTGATTTGATTTGCACACATGTGTAGCTAAATCAATGTAAACAATAAACTTTAATAAGAATTTTACCTTGAATAAAGACAATGTCCAGGATCTCGAAGTGCAGATATAAAAATATCCAGTATATAAACTAAATATCCAAAAGTTTCTCGCAAAGAAAAACAGAACGTGTTATTGTTTGTGGTTTGATGTGCCAATGATGCAATCTCAGCACGCCGTGAATACAGCGGACGCGACCGCAGGCGCATACGGTCACTGCGCATGAGCAGAACAACGATTTACAATCTCAGCACGGTGCAATCTCAGACCGCTACACCGGACAAAATAATAAGATATAGCTTGCGCACTGTTTGGCATTTCTAATGGCTTCAGAAAATTGACATGGAACGTGCTTATACGACACCTGCAATGGCGCGAGATGGCGTGGGCAAGCGTCATATATGTACAGTAAGTACTTTCATTAATATTCCCGAGGACACGAATTGTCACACGAGTTTGTTCAAAAATAAAAACGTTTTGTTTCACGATTCTTGCCTACATAACGTAAAATAATATTTTATTATTTATATTGCGCAAATATCCATATGTATATAATCAAATGCGCAAAAATTTTTGTGGATTAATATATCGACCCACCATAACATGCATGAAATAATTTCAAAACCACATTTTCGCATTTTAGCGAGTGGAAGCGTTCATGAAATCAGGCTTAGCCGTGTGCTAACTACAACGCAGTCGAACGAAAATCACTGAATTAAGCATTGCTAGTATAATGTGTATTCACATACCTGACGAAAAGCCTTTTGGCTAAAAATTCTCCTTCAAACACTTCAAAAGTTCTCGCGTTCCAGAGTTTGTTGTATGCAATGAAAAACTACCTTGACAACAACCGCTAACATACGAACAGCCTCATTAACATCATTACGTAAAATCGATAATTGCTCTTGGCTGCCCTCGCGCGATAATTGCTCTTGGCTGCCCTTATAACTTAATATACCATTGCGTAGACCTCGTGTATATATATATATATATATATATATATATATATATATATATATATATATATATATATATATATATATATATATATATATATATATATATATATATATATATATATATATATATATATATATATATATATATATATATATATATATATATATATATATATATATATATATATATATATATATATATGTATGTATATGTGTGTGTTGTCCGCCTGCTAATTAATTGTTCTGTCAATAAAATGTCAGTTAATTAAACCTGCAGGTCAACTTTTACAGCAACTGTTATTCGCTTGACTTTATTACCTGTTGTCGCACTTTTGGAAATGAATCGTAAAAAATTATGCCAGTTTTGCGCTCATACACATATTTACTGATAATAAAACCTGCACCAAAATATGTTAAAGGCAATATATTTTAAAAGTTATAAATAGTACAAACTATAAAAAATTTGCATAGTTTGATTTGTTGCTATATTTACAGTAGTCGGCCAATTATTTTTGCACCAGAAAAAGGTAAAATTTCAAACATTTTTGAACTGGTTTATCGCGGAATATACGTATATATAAGTATAAAAAATAAGAAGATATATACTAGAAATACACGCATGCAGCTACTCCTCGCCTATTTTTTTCAAACATTGTTTCAACATGAAGTGTTTTCATGAATAAATTACATCTTGAAATATGCATATGTGCTGCGCACCTGCAAAAGTCAGTTAAGCCTGCAGGTCAACTTTTACAACAGCTGTTATCCGCTTGGCTTTATTACCTTTATTACCTTTATTATCGCACTTTTAGAAATGAATCATAAAAATGTATGCCAGTGTTGCGGCTCATACACATATATACAGATAATAAAACCTACACCAAATAGGTTAAAGGCAATACATATTTAAAGTTATAAATAATACAAATATTTAAAAATTTGCATAGTTTGATTCGTTGCAATAGTTAGCTGCGCTAATTGTCTTTGCACCAAAAAAAGCAATATTTCAAAGATTTTTGGAGTAGTTTATTGCAACGCCGATTTTTAGATATATACTGGAAATACATGCATGCAGCTACCCCTCGCCTATATTTTCCAAACATTGTTTGAACATGAAGTATTTTCAATTGCGCCAACTCTGAACGCAGGCTTGCGTTCCCCCGTGATGTTAAGGTATACGTTTACACACAACAATTAATCGGGCCGTTTCAGCTTTTATTATATTCATTTTGAAATCAATGGTGTTTCCTGCAATCTGATTGGTTCACAGGAGTGCGATTTCA